AGTCTCCTTGGTGAGTTGCTTTTGTTGACCTCATTAGATCTCATTAGTGTTCACATTGGGAGTGTTCTTGGAAGTGAGGTTTGAATTTAAGTTAGCATATATATGTGCAAAGGTGCTTTAAAAGGAATAGTGAGAAATTAACACAAAGATGACCAAGTTCATGTTCTTGAGGATTGTGTGGTCGAGTTGAGAAAGGGACACATGTAACCAAAGTGTTGCATATACATACATCCGGATCAGACAGAGCTTAGAGGGAACTAAGCATCACCTCACAGCCTACCTGCTGGGCTGTGGATGATGTCCACGAAGCCACCTGAATGTATTGCATTCAGTGTGCCGACTGAGTAAGACATCTGTCTCACTCACATTTACTATCACTTTCCAAGTGCGTGTAGATGTCCTAGTGGTCAAACAATGCTTTTAAATCAAATTTTGTATTATATTTATTACACTTTTTATTACAATATGTGTTCATTTTCAATGAGTATATGTTCCTACCATGGGTATCTGTAGATTCTTTTCTTATTGTTTGAGAATACCACACATGCATACAATGTAATTTTTTAAGTAAAATTTTAATTTATATTGAAAATAGATTTTTCATGTGGTATATTCTGATCACAGTTTCTCCTCTCCCAACTCCTCAAAGATCCTTCCCACCTCCCCACCCAAATCCACATCCATTTTTTCCCTCTCATTGGAAAACAAATAGGCAAAAACAGTATAGGACAAAACTAATAGAAAGAAAAAATGGCCAAAGAACAAAGCATAAGAACGACATTCAGATGCGGAGACACACATACTCACACACAGAAATCTCATAAAAACACAAAATTGGAAACCATTATATATAAGCAAAGGATCTGTAAAGTCAAAAATGCGCGGATAAGGCAGTATGAGAGAATACCCCTCCAAAATTAACATTAAATTTGTTTTGTGTTGGCCATCTGAGCATGGGGCCTACCTTTAAGGGCAGTTTATAATACCCAGTGAGACTACATTGGAGAAAACTCATTTTTCCTTTGCAAGTGGTTGTCAATTGGTGTTGTGGGAATTGGTTCTGTTCAGGGCTTTGAGGTACAAGCCCTAGGCATGGCTTTGTCTGTGTATGTGACCCCTTAAGAGCTGAGGAAGAGTCGTTGTGCACTCTCTTGGGTGGTTGGAGACTGGATGGTTGGTTCCCAAAAACCCCTGAGCAGAACAAAGGATGACAGCTGGATAAGCAGTGGTGTTTATTTCATTCTGTGTCCATGAGTGTATTATCCCCGTTCTATATCTTAATACATTCCTGAGATCCTTCAACAGACTCTTGTGGATTCACATAACAAGTTGGAGATAGCTTCTGGGTTAAGGATGGGAGCTTGTGTCCACTTCAGCATCTCAGCACTGGGATCCCATCTGGCTTAGACCTGTGCAGGCCCTATGTATGCCTCCATAGACTCTGTGAGCTCGTATGTGCATCAACCCTGTTGTGCCTAGAAATCCTTCTTTCCTTGGTGTTCTCCATCCCCATTGGCTCTTACAATCTTTCAGTTTTCTCTCCTGCAAAGTTCCCCGAGCTCTAAGGGGAGGGATTTGATGAAGACATAATATTTGGAACTGCGTGTTCCTAGGTCTTTTGTTCTTTGCACATTGTTCAGCTGTGGGTCTATTTGTTTCCATCTGCTGCTGGAGGAAGCTTCTCTGGTAACAGATGAGCAGGACACTGATCTATGAGGATAAGAGATTGTAATTAGGAGTCATTTTATTGCCATATTCCTTTAGCAGAATAATTGTGTTTGATATTCCTGTGGGTCCACAGCCAATCTATCCTCAGAGTCTCGGCCCCCGAGCAGTGTCAGGCGTGGGTTCGATCTCATGGAGTGGGCCTTAAAGCCAATAGACAGTGGTTGGTGACTACAGTAACTTTTGTGCCACAGTTGCACCAGTATATCATGCAGACAGGTCACCAGTGTAGATTGAAGAACTGGTAGCTGAGTTGGTGGTTACCTTTATCTTCTGGTAGCATTCAGAGTACCTTCCAGTATCATGAACATTAGTCATTAGGAGTGTAGGCTCTAGATAGGCACCAGCTCGACTTTTCCATGTTCATTGGGTTATACACAATGTGGTTTGATCAAAGTTTTGTTGTAGTCATTTGTTGCCTCTGGCTCTATAATCTTTCTGCTGCCCTTTTTTTGATGATGTCTGTGCCTTAGGAGAGGGTATGATGCAGATGTCTCATTTAGGGTAGAGAACTCGGCAGTCTCTTGTGTATGTTGGCCAATTGTGAGTCTGTGTGACTTGCCATTACTGATAAAAGAAGATTGTCTGTTGAGGGTTGAGAGATGCACTAATTCATTGAGTTAAGGATTAGTCATTGTGATTCAATATAATACTACATCCGTTTGGTAGAATGAAAGTAGTAGGTTCTCCCAAGGCCTATGGCCTATCTAGTCACAGGTTCTTAGCCCTGATAACAGCGCTAGGCATGAGTTCCAGCTAAAAGTCAGTCTAGTTATTTGTAGACTATAAGCCCCTGACTACAGCAGTTCTGTTCAAAAGAATATTCTACAAAAATGGGAATGTTCTCTAAAATTTCCAATGCAGTAGTTAGTCATTAGCCACATGCAGCACTTGAGGACTTGAAACGTGGATACTGGAATTGAACTGAATTGTTGTGCTGTTTAATTTCAATTTAAGTAACTACATAACCACTGGTTAGGACAATTGACAGGACAGTTAGTAATTGTCTGAACCCTCAACCCAACTCTTCTCTGCCCTACATCCTAGTTTGCTTTTGACCCACAAATAGAGCAAATGTGGAATGAAGCAGTTTGAAGAGCTTTTCCTAGTTACAGAAATAAAAGGGAAAGCAGTTTACACTTTTCCCTCACCACCATCTGGTTCTCTGCAACCAGAGAGAGATTTCACTCTCTCTGGGTCAATTAAACCAGTTTATTCACATCTGGTGTATTTCTAGATTCATATAACACTTTCCTCAGTTTTGAAGTTAACTATTGGCATGGTATTTATGAATAATTACTAAAAACTCATATGAAGATCTTATTCTGAGGCTCTCATTAGATAAGATTTGCTTCTCATTAATTTTGCTGAAGGTTGCTGATGGTAACAAAATGGTCCTCCTATGCTTTCTTACTCTAAAACAATGTAATCCATACACTGTATGAGTTCTAGATCTTTCTGATGATTCCTAGCCTTGGGGCCATATAAGATTATTATGTAAATCACAAGGGGCTCCATTAAGGTAATAGAGTCATGAGAGGATACCCAGCTATCTCTGAGTACAAAATATGCCTTTTGTATTTATAGACAGCTCTGACTGTCCTGGAATTCTCTCTGTAGACCGGGCTGGCCTCAAACTTAGAGATCCGCCTGCCCCTGCCTCCCGAGTGCTGGGATTAAAAGTGTGCGCCACCACTGCCCAGCTTTGTTTTTATTATAACTAATAGTGCTAGCTGGATCGATGGCATTACTTTTCCCCAGACAATTTTTGTCTTACACTGTTTGAAGACAAAATATAGGAAGGAATCTGTAGCTTGTGGGATCACAAAAAGCAAATGACCAAAAGTTCTTCGGGGGATTCCTGTTCAAAGAGTCACCATCTCAGTAACAAACCCCTTCCAGAGCCATCTAGAAAGAAGTCCCCGCACCAACAACTCCTGTCCAGGAGTGCTGTCTGTCCAGCCCTCTGAGAGTGGGGGCTGCTCTTGTGCTGTTCTCTGGGGCCTCTTTCCCACCTCTGTTCTCTTCTTGCATTAAGGCCAGTGGCGGGGGAGAGCATGTGTAAAATCAGACCCAAATTTCGGAACACTTTTCTATCTCAGAGCCAGAACCCCCACGTATGTCCTCCTGGCTCCTGCTGGGCCGTGTACCCTGCCCCTGAGTGTGTTGCCGATGGGAGCAGCTTAAAGACAGGTATTGACACCCAGATGGGTAAATCCTTCCTAGAGGACAGTGCAACAGCAGTAACTGTGTGTTAGCCTTTACTGTCTGTATGAGAACTCTTCTGCACTTTGTTCTTTCACAAATTTCCACTGACAGAAAGAAACCAGACAGTTCTTTTTTACATTGAAAACTGTAACTTGTTAGAGCACTTTTTGTTGTATTCGTGTCGTGTTGATAAACGTGTCATTGTGAGGTCTACCATTTGTTGCCCATGAGAGTAGTAGCAGGAGTAACTCGGAGTGGTGGTGGTGATGTGCGCACATGGTGTGTTTGGGGATGGATTATACAAGGAGGAGAGTGAAGGGTGGAGTGCCAGGAAACTGTTCTGAGTTTGCCCCTCTATCCTGCAGGAAGTGCAAAGGAATGAAAGTGGAGATTTGGACCTCTCTTAGTTCCAGGAAGGTGACACCTGGTCTTGCCCTGCACCCCCAGATCTTTTGTGTTGAGTATGAATGAAGAGCTATAAACTCTAGTCCCTCCAGTCTGTGGGAAATATCTCAAAGGTCCTTTCAGCTTGGAGTCTGTATTTAATTCTCTTGGATCTTCCTACACACAAGCTGACACCTTCATTTTTCCCACATCTGAGCATCTATCAATAGTTCTTTTCACAAAACCAAGTTCTTCTTGATATATCTGTATAGAAAAAAATATGGGTAGTGCTACCCAGTATCAAATCTCTTTAGTGCAGGTTGTTTAGACATATAACTGTTTGATTTTATGTGCCCGTTGTATGAATTTTCATTGCCACTAAAAAATTATACCAGATTATTATGTCTTCTACCTTTCCCTCTTCCTGTTTGAGCCTATATTTATTTCTCTGAGTAGAATATTTTAGCCTGTAAGTCTCTGATCTTCATGGAAGGAAGCACGTACAATGCTAATCAACTGTGAACAAACTCTGGATATTGCTGGGTATTTTAGTAATTGCCGTCAAATGTAGCAGGGTTGATGAAGTGTTTGTGAATGAAGGTTTTGGGAAATCAGCCTATTTCAGTACAGAATTCCTAATCACTGTATATTAACATATCTGTCTCCTGCTTTTTAACTTTCAGTATCTACTAGAAATGAAAAGCCTAATCCTCCCACCGGAGCACATCCTGAAGAGAGGAGACAGTGAAGCAATAGCATATGCGTTCTTTCATCTTGCGCACTGGAAGAGGGTGGAGGGGGCCTTGAATCTCTTGCACTGCACGTGGGAAGGCAGTAAGTAACTTTTTCTTTAAACACTCCCTAAGAACATAAAGTTCTCGAACTATTTATACCACAACAGCTCATGATGAACGCTGAGAACCCGCACGTCTGGTTTTTGTTTCCAGTATGTCACATTATCAGGACAGTTGATTATCTGATGCTCCAGATCCCCAGAGATAGGGGTGTCGCTGTGGTGGTGCCACTTCTAGATTAGAAATGTCCCTTCATACAAGAGATAAGTGACCCTGGGTGCTCTAGAGGAGAATTGTACCACGCTGAAAACCCTCTCTGGAGATCTGCACAGCCCCCGAACAGCACAGTAACCTTTGCCTTAGGCTTAGGTCTTGTGCTGGATTCTGCTTCCTATTTCATATAGCTTCAATTGTAGAGTTGGATGAGAGCCACAGTTATCCCTTACTGAAGTAAGAATGAGTGTCTACCCCACATATGTTTCAAAACAACAGCAATGCCCATTGAACCCTGGTGTCTTAGGGGAGGTGTGGCAACTCCTGCGAATAAAAAATGCCTGTTAGATAGATGGAGGCATAACTTAGCCCTGGCATGATCTCTGCAGTTGCCATCGTTCTGTGTAAGGAAAGCAGGCTCTAATGGCAGGTGACATGGACTTCTTGAACTTGTACTCCTTCTTACCTAGTGAGGAGGAGAAAATGGCTGCCCTTGCCAGCTGTCCGGGGACTTTTTCAGAAGGCAGAGTTTAAGACACCAAGGGGTAACTCTGTAGGAGTCAGGTGACAGGTGAACAAGTCCTGAGAACCAGGGCGGTAGTATAAGTGAGAGTACTGTGTGAGGAAATGACCTAGGGCAGTAGTATAAGTGAGAGTACTGTGTGAGGAAATGACCCAGGGCGGTAGTATAAGCAGGAGTACTGTGTGAGGAAATGGCACGTGGTAGCGTCACTAGGAGATTGTAAGTGAAGGAAAGAGAACCAATCCTATGTGTGGTATGGGATAACATGTACTGAAACACTGTTAATAAAACACTAATTTAAGCAAAACCAGCACTACACATAGCATTGCTTATAGAAAGTTAAAACGAAGCTATTGGAGTCTCTGGTCGTTTTTCCTTGTTTATCCTTACTTTGATCAGACTCACAAACAAGTCTTTTTAAACCTTTTTGTTCTTGTCTTTTCTGCTTCCATTTTCACTTTGATAAGCTTCTGCTCCTTCCTGTTCCTGCCCTTCCTTGACCCAGTAAAGATCCAGCTTGGCTCAGGAAATGACGGGGCTGTAGCAAGGTGGGGTGGGAGTAAGGTGACAGAGATGAGTCTCAAGGGCGGTGGAAATTTCTTGTTTAGTTGCTGTGAAAGTTTTGCTCAGATAATTAACAAGTTTTCTTCCTATACTTTTCTATTTATAATTTGAAAGATGTTGACTTGCTTCTCATTCCGCTTGATAACTATAATAATATAGCCAGGTGTCTGGGTCAGTGGACTCGCTCAAGAATTGTGGGCCTGGCCACATCTCCCCCAGCTTGCTTGTGCTGATCATTGCTTACAATGTTCTTTGTCAGAACACAAAAGAAAATGTTAATTCAACGTGAGAAAGATTCCTAAAAGTCCAGGAGAGTCAACTATGAGGCATCATCATCATATCTTGTGTCGAAAGCTAAATAGGCCCGTTGGCCAGGCAACTAAAAACGTATCTGCAGGTTGGGCATCCTGAGAATAACAGTGGGAACTTACCAGTTGGGCCTGACTGATAAGATCCAACCCTTTGGAAAGGACCCAAAATGGCCCAAAGCAGGAGGTGATAAATACATGGTATTAGGAGTGACATCACCATAAAGAATTAAAGCCCTTTGGTGAAGAACTGGAAATTGTTGCGAAGTTAGTAATCAGCCAGCAATACAGAGTTTCTCTGAATCAACAGGGAAGGGTCAAGAGATGTGGAGTGACATGGTGAACTGGCAAATCAAGCAGAGTAGAAGTATTGGGGGATTACCTCAAGCTACATGGACAGAATACTTTATTGGGACTAAGGGGTAGAATTTTTGTATATAAAATAGTAAGGCAAGGAAACCAGATATCTATAGAAAACATCAACTGGGAATTTGATACTTAAAGATAAACATTTTCTGTGAAAATCAGATAGTGATCCCAGCTCAAATCAGTTGCAATGTCATTCAGTCTCCAGAGAGCCTTGCTAATCAACTGTAGAACGGAGATCTCTGAGGGTGCTCACTGTGATCTAAATACACAAGGAAATCTGAGTACCAGGAACCTTGAAGAGTGTTTTCCATACCTGGATGGCGTTAAGTTGTCTTGCATTTGCATCTTTTTGCTGACTGTCCTGATAACATTCTAGCTTAGACAGAGCAAAGATGGTCACCTCGGTTCTCCAGCAGAAGAAACAATGAGGTGAGTGGCTGGTCAGTTTGCAGCAACTGTTCAGACAGCCAGGAGGCAAGGGCAAGTCCATATTTTCTTCTCTGCAGTGAACAGATGAAGCTAAGAGACTAGTTAGCTCTGGAGCATTTGCTTGGAAGGTTACAATTTAGATTTACATCACTACCTATAATCTAAGGTATACTATCTAGTTTAGAAAGTTACCCATCCTGGATACAATTAAATTTTGCTATCTATTTACTATTGGTTTAAACATTTCAATAGGAATAAGACAATAAATATATATGTATGAACAAAGGAAAGAAACTGAAGCGAATTTATCTCACTTTAGTTGCTACTGCTGAGTTGTGGGTGTGCTTTCGTTTTGTTCTTCATATGGGTACTCTTCAAATTTTGTATAACTCACCTAGTTGTTTTTAATAAGCAAAAGATGTATATGTATTTATATGTATATATACACACATATTTAGAAAAAATCTTTCATGATTGGTATTTTTCAGCCATTTTTTTTTTAAAGCTATAGGTCTTTCATGCAATTTAGAGGAAAGAATTACTACTCCAGCTTGAAGCATTTTCCTGCAATCTTTTACTTTTTTTAGATCTGTGACTTTTAAGTTAAATTAGATGTCCACATCTCTGTGTTTTAAAGATTTACTTTTATTATTTTTAATTTATGTAGGGGGGCGGGGTATGTGCATGTGAGTGCAGGGGCACACAGTGGCCAGAGGAGTTGAACCCCTTAGATCTGGAGCTACAGGGGTTTCTGAGCCAACAGGCTGCTGATGTGTGTGCTAAGAACCAACTGAGGTCCTCTGGAAGAGCAGTTTGTATTCTGAACCATTGAGTCATCTCTCCAGCCCCATAGCTGTGTTTTAAATCAGAAGACTTGGATTAGAATTCTGGCTCAGCTGCTGATAGTAGTATCTACTTTCTTAACTTTGGAAATTGTAAGGCCATATGAAAGGGAATGTCATACCCTGAATGCCCCATGTTGGTGACCTCCTTCAAGCCCCCAGCAGAGTGAACAGAAGAGGCTGCACTTCCCCCAGTACACCACGTGGTGGCGGCTTTTGACATCTCCAGCCTCAGAGTTGAGGTTTTCTTCCCCGAGTCATTCATTTTCTTCATTCTGAAATGTAAGACCATTCCCTAATTCCACCCAAGTTCTCAATTTTATTAGAAAGAGAACTCAGGACAGAAGATAAAAGAACCTGATCTTACCAGGTTCCATGTTAAAAATGAATGTTACCCAAGTTGTGTTTTAGAAATCTTTTAAAACAAATCAACCTTGGTTCTGTCTGAAGTGTTCATTTGGAGGTAGAAATAGAAGGATGTTTTCCCCTTTCAGTGAATTTTTTGTTAGAGAACTAGTCATTCTTTAGAATTCAGTGGGTTTCCCATCAATTAAATTGAGCCCTCCCTCCTTTTTGTGAACTCCGAAGTCTAGCTCATCTATAACAGAGGCTGTGTTTGAAGTATATGGTAGTAAAGGGGAAAAGCACCCCTGAATCCTCAACGGCAATACATCAGCATTTCAAAGGTTTCTAAAATGTTTGATTCATCACTGTCCCAGCCCCCCCCCCCAAATTACACAATATGTCCCTCAAAGTCAAGATAATTAAGAAAGGGGAAAGAGTTTCAACTTTTAAGATTTCATGTGCCTTAGATTACTGCACAGCTGCCACCTTATCAAAGTTATGTTTGTTTTAAACACTGCTGCCTCTGGATATGCTCACACAATGCACCACCGCAAGTATGAGATGTCGTTCCATACATCAGAAGACGACTATGCCATGGGGGAAACCACTTGGCCTTTCTTTGTGTCTATATTTTTCTACCCAACCAAATAGAACCTTTATTTTCTTTTTGGACCTCCCCCCACAAGAATCCACTAAATAATGTATAAGATTTGAAGGTGGTGTTTTTGAGGGGGCCTGAGCAGAGTGTTTCCTTTGAGAGGGGAAAATGGCCCATTGTTGAAGCATAGAATGAGTTTATGATTCTAATGTATTCTCTTTGAACCTAATGGCAAATGCCCTTCACTGTAGGATGTGTCCTTGGGGCATTTCCTCTAGCCATAGCATCCCTCCATAAGGTTGCTACCTTTTGGACTTCTGACTGATTCCTCCCCCTGCCCCTAACAGATCTGAGGATACTATTTATGATTTGCAAGAAAGTGGTGATTGAGTAAAGACACTGACCACAGCCGCCACACTGGCAGCCAGTCTCCAGATATGGCATGGTAGAGAGCCAGCTTGAGTCTAAATGTGTTCCGTTTGGGTAACAAACCATAATTTGGAGTGCCTAAAGTTTTTTTTTAAGAGTCAGGATCTTCCTGTGCTTCCAAGGATGCTCCCAAACTCACAAGTTACAGTGATCCTCCTGCCTCAGTCTCTAGAATAGTGCAACAGGTAGGCTCCTGTAATCTTGTTGGGTTTTACCTAAGTTACTAAAGAGAAAGTCCATGTCTTCCTGAGTGCATATACTCTATTGAGCAAACAATTCTTGGATCCTTCCTTTGTAACAGGCATTAATGTTTGGTGATACCGAGGTGAAAATGTTTTGTAAGAAGCATTTGTGTGTGTATACATAAATGTTTTATGCATACATGTTCAGAAGGAACTACACACGTATTTGTGTACATAGGTAGATGGTCCAGCAGTGCTATGGTGGCTCTGGAAACAGAATTCAAGTGTTGAGAGTCACTAGTAAGTTAGGAAGTTCACTGTAAAACCTAGAATTCCTTCTTCAAAATTAGGACAATCCATGCTTAAATCCAACCAAAGGAAAACGAGTTCTTCAGGGTCAGTTTACTTTGGTGTTGTAGTTGAAAGAATACGGATCCAAAGCCAGGCTTTGATCTCGGTCTTTTCCTCATGTCTGCGTTGCGATGACTAATGGAAGACAGGTGGCCTCCCAGACTGTGACTTGCACTGCACTCAGACATGGAACATAAAACTTGTATTTGGGTGACCATTTCTGTTCTAGCAGTTGCAGGTCTGTTTGTTAGCACACCATAGCATTTTCACTCACAGTGTGCCCTCGTGGAGAAGGTGAAGACTTTAGGTCCAGTGGAGAAGGAAGGAAGGTGAAGAGAACCCTGACCTGTACAGGAAAGCTTGGCACTTGGGTCTGAGCTCTACCAATGCAGGAACAGTGAGTTCTTACCTTACCTGGTATCACTGTTAAAAACACACACTTTTTGACAAGAGACTAATGGTAAGAGGTAGAGCTGAGATTCACTCTCAGTTCTCTGTATTACAAATAATCTCAGTAATGTTCTATCTGAAAGGAAAAACATCAAACAAATGTCAGATAAATATCAAAAGTATCTTCTGTCTGTCTGTATAATGGGTAGGGGACAGTTGCTTAGTCTTCTCCTGTCTCCACCCTTCTGTCCATCTGCGGTTTTCTTGGTACTCAGTCCTCTGACCTGCACAGCACTGAGCAGCTTGGAGCCCTGAAAGTGGTTCTAGCTAGAGAGGGGAGGAGGCAGGTCCATGCCTCAGACTCGATTGTGTGATGCTTTCATGTGCTCCCTAAGTGATCAGGGCTTCAGTTACACCTCGGAAGCAAGGCACAAACAACATCAAGACAGTCAGGTGCACATGAAGTGGAAATGTCATTTGGATACTGTGTCTCGACTGCCAGTAGCCTAGGTTTCTTGCTCAGTTTTGAACCAAGTATCTGTACAATTTTAATTTATCTAAAATATGTTTCTCAAAGACCTTTAGGAAGGTCGTCATCTGTAAAATAGTTATCTCCCAATGATCTATTTCTGTTCTCATTTCAACCACTAAATAAGTCCGTTCTTAGACTTATCATTGACACTCTCTGGACATCGGTGAACGCTTCAAGGCTCATAGAGCTGGTCGGTGCCTGTCTCAGTGAAAGGGACCCGAGGTGGGAGGGCTACGGGCAAGGAGTGCGAGGCTCTTCCCACCTCTCCAGACCCCCATCCTTATCTCAGTCCCTGTTGGACCCTGTGCAGCAGGGTGGGGAAGGATAGAATTGCAAGTAGAAATTGTATTTGCTTTTGTTTAGTGAAGCCAAAACTTAATATTGTTTTTACGAACTTAATGTAAATGATATCTGACATGAGAAAAAGAAATCTTAAGGGTACCATAAACATGCAAGAAACATATTTATATACTTTTAAAAATTGTGTATTAGCAAAATTTTCACCCTTTCTGAAAAAGATGAGAGCTGGTTAAAATAAAAAAGATGAAATTGATCCATAAAGTTCTCTGTGCATGCCAAATATGGAAGGAAACATCCTAATTGGAAGATGCCAGTCAGCCATTAGATGTCTCTCAAGAGCTTGTACTCCTATATTTCTCTTTTAAAAAATAACATCCTGAAGTTCAAACTACCTTCAATTTTGAATAAAGTTTACTTTTCAAAATTAATAGCCATTATGGAAACTTTTTTTTCTTTTTGTATCATATGAACTTGAATACATTAAAAAACGATAGCCTAGGTACACACCCACAGAGTAGGAGTGGGGGATGCTTTCAAAGAAACTCATGCATGAAAAGGTGCATTGAAATCCTGCCAGATTGCAGCTTAAATGTAAGAGATTTTAGTGCATGGATGCTATACAATTGCTACAAGTTTTTTGTCTGTTGTTTTGTTTGTTTTCATTCTCTTGCAAGCCTGGTTCTGGTGGGAGAGATGTTGGCTTCCTCCTCACCATTTTTGCGATTGAACAACCCATGACACAACTCTTCTGTCACTTGTGCTAACTGGCAAAAGTCATTTTTGTTTGTGTGAAAGGGTCTGATTGAACTAGGGTGAGCCTTCCATTATAAGAAGAGCTGAAGTCTGGGGTGTTTTTAATGTTTTAATCTGTTTAAGAGGTTTCTGTTACAAGAAGAAAATTGATAACATTTTTACCTCAGCAAACTGCCAGCAAACTGGCTCTGCTCTAATCCCACATTTATCATGATTTATACTCTCCATGGCAATGTGCTATAACCTCACAGAGATACCACTGTGGTGTGGATTGACTGCATTCCAAATGCTGGAATCGCATACATACTGTTTTTACTTTTAAATAATATTCAGACACTAGAATAAATACCATATGTGCACTGATGCGGGTTACAATGGGACCTTGTCATTTCTTGTGAGGGAGAACATTCTTTGTTTCTGATTCTTATTTGAAATAAGTATGCAAAGACAAATATGTACATTGACAGCATTTTGTAAAGACTTTGGTAATACTAGGGCTAAGGATGTAGCATGATTCCTTAAAATGTAGCATTTAAAACTATAAATATTGTTGCCCATTGCCACCATCCCTCACCATCTCTCGTGGACACACATACAAGCCAGGATTGTTAACCGAGTTTCTTAGGGTAGTGTATGGCTTTTCCATTCTGTATCTACAATATGCAGCCATTAAAGGACATCTGTTGAAGAGAAATTAAGTCCATGAGCACTGCTCATAGGAACAGTGAGACTAACATGCTGATGACATTTGAACAGGGAGAATAACACACTCGATAACGGGGCTGGATGGATTGATTGGAAAGCCATAATTCAGTGGAAAGCCTAATGTCATCTGATGCCACAGACAGAATTTAGGTGGCCTGACATCATCAAAATGTAGACAATCAATCTCTCCGAGCCATTTCCCCTTGCATGATACTGAAAGATTTAAAAGTTTCATAAAGTTTAGAAATTCCTCTCAAATCATGTGTTTTTAAGTTTTTGTATTCGTCATCCTTGTTGGAGTTCTAATCCACTTAGACATATTTTTAAACCAGACACAGCAGAATGCCTTTCATTTTTGTACAATCTGCAGCAAGCTCCAACGAGTCAATCCACATGCACTTCTGGGGAGAGCACTTGGGTCCATGTTTGCATTATTACCATTGGCTGGGCTCTGTTGAATGTGCACTTAAAACATTTTTATAATATTTTATACATGATGAAACCTTAGGTATTGATATTGACGGGTTCCCTGCCCTTCTGCACTTCTGTCCCCACCCAGTTTTGTGAGTTTTGCCCAGAATATATAGTGTGAGATTAATGTGTGAGGAATGCATCACAGTGCACCTCTGACATTTTGTCTGGCATGTGCCTCAGAGTTTGGGTAAGGCTTGCCTCTCTTATAGGAAGAAAAATGCTCTGAAGTTCTCTTCTGAGATTGGAGTGTGTGCCATTAGAAAAAACGCTCAGAATTTCTGTTCCGAGGTTGGGAAGCTAGGAGATGAATATAAGTCTTTAATGTGTTGTGTTCCTTTGTAGCTTTCCGGATGATCCCTTATCCCTTGGAGAAGGGACACCTATTTTATCCATACCCAATCTGTACAGAAACAGCAGATCGGGAGCTGCTTCCCTGTAAGTATCACTCCTCTGCAGCCTTCCAGGAGGGTGACATTGCAAAAGATGGGATGTGAAGAGGTGGGATGATAAGTGTTGATAATGTCCTTACTAAGTGTCTCCCAACCCCTGGCCTTATTTGCTAGCGTATGTGTAGAAATGAGTTATGGGAATGGGTTGCACTTCCTGCTTCTCCAGCTCTTTGCACACATCCATTAGAGGGAATGATGCCCAGGCTTGAAATTTATCCGAGATGAGCTATCGTAAGTATAGCAGAGATTGACATGAGCATGCAAAGCCCTGATGGAGAGTGGCTTCTCTTCAGGTTGGTTTGTCATGGAAGCTTCTGCTTGGGCTCTCCTGAAGGTTAGAGGTGGTCTGTACACACTGGGGTTTGAAAAGGAAGAGCTGGTGTCAGAGGAAACTATGGTTGAATCATGGGTAGGAGGGCGGAACCAGGCCACTGGCATTGCTGCCAGAGGCAAAGTCCTGAGTGAAGACGGGTGGTATGCTCTCCATGGTGATGCAATGCTCTTGGCCAGACAGTTCCTGTGAGCATCTTGTGGGCTGCATGTAGTGAGTTGGCTGACATGTGCAGAGCACACGTGCAGCCTGAGCACTGTGTCATAGAGTGCAGGATGAAAACCCTGCCCTCAAGTGCCTTAGGAGCTCTCAGCCTAAGGGTCATACCACATGTGGAAAGTATTATTTTGGTTTACTGTAATACAACATTGTTTTGACAATCCAGGCTAAATAGCTATTATCCAATCAGACTGTGTGCAAGGATCATGTCCAGGCTCTTCATGTGGCTCTGACTTGGGAAATACTTCCCTCTCTCGGATACTAATCCCCTTTTGGCTCCTTCTCACAACCCCCTTCTTTGTTCCCATCACCCTCTTTTCCTTTGACTAGCCCTGCTTACATCAATATCTAAGAGCTATAGCATCCATAAATATTTCCCCAGAAAAGCTTTGGTGAGCTGGCACATAGAAAAATTTCAGATGCCACCATTACTGAGCCGGTCATGAATGGTAGCAGCTAGATACAAGTGATTGCTGCCACGAGATTGGGGTGTCTGGAGGTGCTCCACCTGTTTCCTTGCTAATCACCCCAGTCCGTGGTTTGTTGTTTAAAGAGCTGGGAGAGCTCTGTGGTGTTTGTTGTCATAGCTTCATTTTAAAGACATCTGGTGCATCACATGACATTAAATTTAACTTCAGAAATCCCCACATGACACCCCCTTCAGGGAGATCCTTATTAAAGTTTCGGTTTTCTGGTAGAAAGGAAGTTTTCTGAAAAGTACCATGTTTTAAAATGTTCTAGTTGAATCCAATTAAGTTTCTGTGAATATAGATTATCTACTAAAGCCATATTACAATTCTTAAAAGGAACATACCCACAGTCTCCGAGTGGGCTATAGAGAGGTTTGGCTGTTGTAAACACTACTCATACTTTGAGCATTGAAAGTATAATAACTGGAATAGTGGGCCCTAAGTGCGCTCTACCCCAGGTTTGCCCTTTAGCAGGTTGACTTCCTGGGATGTACCGGGAGGCTTGCTTCCATGTGCTCTCTGCCTCCTGACAGTTTCTGCTCTATTTTCAGCCCTGTTGATCCGGGCTCTGAGTAACAAAGGCTAATGGGCAATGAAGGCGCTGTAGAGTTGGCATGTCCATGAGGGAAGAGGCCACTCAGCTCCTGCTTTTTCCCATAGCAGTGCTGTGAGCCTACTGGGTAGTATCCTCCACTGATATCCTTAGACTGTCAGAGAAAATACAAGATAACTGATATTGCCTTACTCTAATGATTTAAAAATACAGTAAAATAAAAAATAGACACGTGTGCCCACTCACGCTTGATTTGGGAATTCCCTTTGGAAATACGTGTTGTAAGTTGGACAGGGTTTTGCTCTTTTGTATTTGCTTTGGGGAAAGGAACACTGTGTATTAAATATAGGTGGTGCCCATGAATGTGTGGCAGCACAGGCTAACCCTGTGTATCTCTTGCTAAAGGGCCGCAGGGGGACTTGGAGTTGGGAGAAACAGCTAGGCAGCAAAGGCAGTGGAGCAGGTGTGGGCGAGCTATGGAGTGTCCAGGGTGTCCCAGTTCGTTTCCAACCTGCTGCAGCCAAGGGAAGTCAGGGTCCCTAAAATGCTTTCACTTGTGTCCTAATGGCTCCCTTTTGGTCTTCTCCTTAGCTTTCCATGAAGTCTCAGTTTACCCCAAGAAGGAGCTCCCCTTCTTCATCCTCTTCACTGCTGGACTGTGTTCCTTCACAGCCATGCTGGCCCTCCTGACACATCAGTTCCCAGAACTCATGGGGGTCTTCGCAAAAGCCGTGAGTGTTTCCAGAGAGGGGGCCTTGGGCAATGGACGGCCGGATGCGGAAAAGCAAGGGAAGGGCCTCGGGAGGGGGCCCCGGGAGGCGATGCTGCGCAGAAGTGTTTGGAAGCCTGAAGAGTCATATAGTTTCCATTATCATCAGAGCAGTCAGTGGCTGAGGGGTGAAAGTACAGGTTGTTAGTGCATGTCTCACCTGACTTCCCAGACATCCTTGTACCTTCCAGAAAGTGCATCAAGTCCCAAAGGATGAAATGATTTAGGGAATACTCACAAATGAGAAATGGGTGGGTTGTGATTCAGCCTTGCATATACTGAATGGGACTTTCTAATCTTTGGATACTGTGAGTCTGTCATTCATGAAGGATGAGATTTAAGTTTCCACACATTATTTTTGTGATGTTTTAAATGGATACAAACCCTTGGCTTGTTTGGGTCATGAACTGTGAGAAAGTGGGAAAGCTTGTAGTGGAAGTGTACCAACGTGAGATTTAGAAAAAGGAAAATCCATGAAGAGCCTTGGGAGAGGGTGGTAGACAGAGCCCTATAAGGAAGCCCGCTGCCCTGCTTGCTAAGAACCTGTTTCCCCGGAGAGAGTGATGATTTCTCTAAGACGAGGTGAGCGTCCTGATTTTGCCACAGCTGGGTGTCAAATGGAAGGAGAAGAGAGGAAAACATGAGTTGTTTCCCTGCGTCTGATTTTAAGATGCATGGGGTCAGCAGGGATGATCTCTGTCCATACTTTTCACCTCCACAGTGGCCCTGCCAGGTCCGGAGTCAAGTCCTCAGGCCACAGACTCCCTGCACTCTCAGGCTCCTCCCTGCCTTGTACCCTGTGGGGGTCAACTTCCAAATGCTGCGCTACCCACTACCGCTACCGCTCAGTGACCACACTGTAGACCTGCCTTCCCTGCCATGCCCACTTCTCTTCACAGCCTGTCCCTTAGTGGTGTCCTTGCTGTCCTTGCCTGAGCCTCCACATTGTCTCAGCTGGTCTCCTTGCTTCTGGGCTCATCGCCGTCACTCTGTCTCTTACACTACCACAGGGAAGGGTTTTCTACATTTCCAACAAGCAGGCCACTTCCCAGCTTTTATCTACTGGTTCCCTGTTATTTCAGGCCCTAAATCTCATTTCTTTTGCTTGACCTAAAAGAGCCTTTTATCTTGAGTGGTCCTTGCTTGACTTGTTAGCCTCCTCCCGCACAGTTCTTACACAGATCCACCTTTTCAGCCATAGGGAAGTGATCCCAGTGCCCAGAGGTACCAGGCCTGCAAATCTCAGTGACGTTCCATGTCCTGTTTGTATGCATGTGATGTCTCATATGACCCCGCACTCCATTTGTCCCCGAAAGACCTCTTTCTTACTTAATACTCTGCTCCTTTCTCCTAAATTGACAGCACATCTCCATGATTCCACAGAGTTCCATGAATGCCTGTATTATCACACATTACCACATATAGTCATATATGATTGGTGAGGAATTGTCTGTGCCCCTTGAGACTTCAGTCTTTGAAAGCAAACCCTTTCTCACATCTGTATCTCCAAAGCTTCCCACACAACCTTGATCATTGTAGGGTCTCAATAAATGGTTCTTAAGTGAATGAACAGATATGTGTATCAGATACACTTGGCTTTTCTTCCCTTCTCTTGAAATCAAATATCCTTACAGTTGAAAGGGTCCTCAAAGTGCCTCAACTGTTGCTACAACATGAGTTCATCTAGATATATCATGTATACTGTTGTACATGGCTCGTTGTGAATGCTGCTGTACATGGCTCATGGTGAATGCTGCTGTACATGGCTCATTGTGAATGCTGCTATACATGGGTCATTGTGAATGCTGCTGTACATGGCTCATTGTGAATGCTGCTGTACAGAGCTCATTGTGAATGCTGCTGTACATGGCTCATTGTGAATGCTGCTGTACATGGCTCCTTGTGAATGCTGCTGTACATGGCTCATTGTGAATGCTGCTATACATGGGTCATTGTGAATGCTGCTGTACATGGGTCATTGTGAATGCTGCTGTACAGAGCTCATTGTGAATGCTGCTGTACATGGGCTCATTGTAAATGCTGTTGTACATGGGCTCATTGTAAATGCTGTTGTACATGGCTCCTTGTGAATGCTGCTGTACAGGGCTCCTTGTGAATGCTGCTGTACATGGCTCATTGTGAATGCTATTGTACATGGCTCATTGTGAATGCTGCTGTACAGAGCTCATTGTGAATGCTGCTGTACATGGCTCATTGTGAATGCTGCTGTACATGGCTCATTGTGAATGCTGCTGTACAGAGCTCATTGTGAATGCTGCTGTACATGGCTCATTGTGAATGCTATTGTACAGAGCTCATTGTGAATGCTGCTGTACAGAGCTCATTGTGAATGCTGCTGTACATGGCTCATTGTGAATGCTGCTGTACATGGCTCATTGTGAATGCTGCTGTACATGGGTCATTGTGAATGCTGCTGTACAGAGCTCATGGTGAATGCTGTTGTACAGGGCTCATTGTGAATGCTGCTGTACATGGCTCATTGTGAATGCTGCTGTACATGAGCTCATTGTAAATGCTGTTGTACATGGCTCATTGTGAATGCTATTGTACAGAGCTCATTGTGAATGCTGCTGTACAGAGCTCCTTGTGAATGCTGCTGTGCATGGCTCATTGTGAATGCTGCTGTGCATGGGTCATTGTGAATGCTGCTGTGCATGGCTCATTGTGAATGCTGCTGTACATGGGTCATTGTGAATGCTGCTGTACATGGCTCCTTGTGAATGCTGCTGTACATGGCTCCTTGTGAATGCTGCTGTACATAGCTCATTGTGAATGCTGCTGTGCATGGCTCATTGTGAATGCTGCTGTACATGGCTCATTGTGAATGCTGCTATACATGGCTCATTGTGAATGCTGCTGTACATGGCTCATTGTGAATGCTGCTGCGCATGGCTCATGGTGAATGCTGCTGTACATGGCTCATTGTGAATGCTGCTGTACATGGCTCATTGTGAATGCTGCTGTACATGGGTCATTGTGAATGCTGCTGTACATGGCTCATTGTGAATGCTGTTGTACATGTCTCATTGTGAATGCTGCTGTACATGGCTCATTGTGAATGCTGCTGTACATGGCTCCTTGTGAATGCTGCTGTACATGGCTCATTGTGAATGCTGCTGTACATGGGTCATTGTGAATGCTGCTGTACATGGGTCATTGTGAATGCTGCTGTACAGAGCTCATTGTGAATGCTGCTGTATATGGGCTCATTGTAAATGCTGTTGTACATGGGCTCATTGTAAATGCTGTTGTACATGGCTCCTTGTGAATGCTGCTGTACAGGGCTCCTTGTGAATGCTGCTGTACATGGCTCATTGTGAATGCTGCTGTACATGGCTCATTGTGAATGCTATTGTACAGAGCTCATTGTGAATGCTGCTGTACAGAGCTCATTGTGAATGCTGCTGTACATGGCTCATTGTGAATGCTGCTGTACATGGGTCATTGTGAATGCTATTGTACAGAGCTCATTGTGAATGCTGCTGTACAGGGCTCCTTGTGAATGCTGCTGTGCATGGCTCATTGTGAATGCTGCTGTGCATGGGTCATTGTGAATGCTGCTGTGCATGGGTCATTGTGAATGCTGCTGTGCATGGGTCATTGTGAATGCTGCTGTGCATGGCTCCTTGTGAATGCTGCTGTACATGGCTCATTGTGAATGCTGCTGCACATGGCTCATTGTGAATGCTGCTGCGCATGGCTCATGGTGAATGCTGCTGTACATGGCTCATTGTGAATGCTGCTATACATCGGTCATTGTGAATGCTGCTGTGCATGGCTCATTGTGAATGCTGCTGTGCATGGCTCCTTGTGAATGCTGCTGTGCATGGCTCCTTGTGAATGCTGCTGTACATGACTCATTGTGAATGCTGCTGTGCATGGCTCATTGTGAATGCTGCTGCGCATGGCTCATTGTGAATGCTGCTGTACATGGGTCATTGTGAATGCTGCTGTGCATGGCTCCTTGTGAATGCTGCTGTACATGGCTCATTGTGAATGCTGCTGCGCATGGCTCATTGTGAATGCTGCTGTACATGGGTCATTGTGAATGCTGCTGTGCATGGCTCCTTGTGAATGCTGCTGTACATGGCTCATTGTGAATGCTGCTGCACATGGCTCATTGTGAATGCTGCTGCACATGGGCTCCCCCTGTTTAACACCGTACCCATGTCACCAGTGGTCACCATTCCAGGCTCCTTACTGTACCTCTTACGCTGCTGTCTTTCACTTCTGCTTAGCTGGTTTTACACTCTTGGAGCACACCAAAGAAATCTGCTTTCTCTTGCAAATTCTCAGGAGAGCTTCTCCACTCAAGGCCAACTTGAAGTTCTGACTCCCTTCTCCTTCCTTCGGGGAAATTACGTTTTCTTTCCTCTCTTACCTGAGTTGCTGCCTTGGATGCCTTCAGTCCCAGGACCTGTGCTGTTCACTGTTTCCTTCCTCTGCATGGCTAGCCGCTGAGGAAAAGCAGTTGCCAACGTTTCAGATGAGAGCATAATTTAGTTCAAATGTGTAGTTGGGATGTAGGCCTGGAACTAGACAATTACTGTTCCTGCTTTTCTGTTTCCCTCTTAAACATTTTTAAAACATGTACAAAAGCACCTCATTGCTCCAGTGTTCACTGTTATGCTAACAGATAGCACTTGCTGGGGGCGTGGGATCTCAGGGATTCTTAGCCTCTAGCGTGCCAGTAATGCTCCTGGCCATACCACCAAAATTCAGAATCTTGATGTTCGCACCAGGAGTCTTTATTTTTAGCAATGACCCCACCAGCCTTTGAGGGTGGGAGTTGAAGATTTTATCTCCTTCTAAGGAGTCTGACCTCCTGAAAGGTAAATCTTTGAAAGGCCATTTGAAGTTACGTCATACCCTGTCATAGCTCTTCAGGTGACAGCTGTCCAGAATTAGTGGCTTCAGTATGCCTGTATAAGATTGCTGATAACTGCCCTTCCTAGGCCTCTTGCCTACTTGACCCCCTGCCACATAGGCAGTTGAGTTTTCAGGTGTTTCCTGGGAATTCAGGTGTGCAGTCATGACTGAGAACCACAGTGCTGAATGGAATGAACACTGGTTGCTTGAGACCATTTTAGCAGCAAAGGGATCGGAGAGAGGGCAGCTAGCAAAGAGATTCTGCGGAAAGTCCACACAACAGCAGCGGACTCTTCAGAAAATTGAGGGTGGTGATCAACACTGGCTCTCCTCCTCATTTCTGTTTCCAAAGCCTCCATCTTACACCTAGAATCAAATGACTGGATGGAATAGATTTGACTTCAGAGGGGCCCTACTCTCTCCCAGTGTGTGGTTATCTGGTCAACTCCTCCTCCTTTGAACAAGTGTGCCTTTAAACTCCTCCTGGGGTTCTGGCATTTCCCAGGTCTGGGGAGGCTTAGGAAGAAAGGAAGATGGGTGGCATGAAGGAGGCAAGGCCAGCGTGTCTGTCCTGGGCGCTCTTTTCATCCGCACCTCCTCACTCCTTCAGGCCTCTCACAGAGCCTCTGCCGAACACCCAGGGGTTATCACAGCTGCCCTGGAGGCTGTCTGCAGACATTTGCAGCTGGAGCAAGTGGCTTGTTTTCAGTCCCCCTGAGATACTGCCCTGGGTGTGATGACTTTTAGGAGATGCAGAGAGATTACGCTGCCACCCCCAGGCTCCACAGTGTGGGAACTCCAGCACGTTTGTTCACTAACAGAGTGTCCCACACTCATAGACAGTGAGTCACTGGAGGGCGTGAGTAGAGAGGCTTCGTCTAGTTGCCTGCAATCTAATCTACCTCGACGATTTAGGACTGACTCTTCCGAGAATGTTTGGTTCTTAAGATAAGGCTGCCCATGTAAGTAAGCCATCACTGCAGGCCCAGCTCTCCACAGAACGTGGGAAGGTCAGCCTTCTGACCCCTCCGCTCTTTAGGGCCTGTCTTTCCTCCTCTGCTCTCCCCCCTCCCCTGAGACTGCACCCCTTGACTTCTGCCTCATCTTCACTTATAGGTCTGGACTCTTTGAAGTCTGATATCGATTACAGGGGGATGTCAATTGTCTGCTTGCGACAGGGCAACTGGAACCTATTCAGATAAGCAAAGGGTTTTTGCTGTGAACCCAGCGTGCTGCAGGCTGTGACCTTCCTCTAAGTAATGGTGTCTCCGGCAGAGGAAGACCAGGCCATTGAAGTGCCACTCTCTCCTTTTTATTAGTTAGTTGCTTTTTCTCACCGGTGGACACTAATTGAGTTATGGGGCATTTGGGCTAGAAATTTGACCGTGTCTCTCTGCCCTCTGGACAGAAGTTTTGGACATTGAGATAGATGACTTGATCCAAGTTGCCTGGTTTTGCTCATTCAGGTTTAACTTTTTAGGCAATAAATTTCCCCCTTAGTCTAGAAATGAAAGTGCTGTTTCTCTTCATGCACCAGTTGGGTTTCTGGTCAAAGGTATTGATGGTTTTTCACACATCTAAAGGAACAGCCGAGTATCCCAAGGTATCCAGAGGAGCAAGGCATGCTCCTGTAACCTTTTTGTAGCTCCCTTGTAGCTTCTTTGTGGGTGGGAACAGGGCGGAGGGAAGGGTGCTAAGAAGGAAGATGGCCTGGGTATGAGAGGGACACATCTCAGTTGGGGTTCCTTAAGTAAATAAATGAGGCTAACCAGGGAAATGCTCAAAGGAGGCCTTTCTCATTCACCTCAAAAATAACCCATTTAGGATATGAGGGAGAGAGAATAGGTCATTACATTCATTGGAGGGTTGGAACATCATTTCCTCATGGAACCTCCGAGAGAAGTTCCATGCAGATAGAATGTAGCAAGGAAAGCCACTGTATCGTGGCATGCAGTGGGGGGAAGGGGACAGCTATGGACCTTAGAGTGAGGCTTTTTACCTAAGTCAGGTCCGTGCTCCCCAGAAACAAAGGCGCAAACAAACAAAACGGTTCTTTGTTGTTGAACTACTGATGACAGGCTGTCTCCCTTCATTCTGCACTCAGCTTGAGGCCCCTGATGCCCACAGTTTAGGGTGTGGAATGGTACAGGGTATGGACTTTGAGAATGCCTTTCTTCTATGGCTCTGGCTCAGGGAGTGCAGAGCAGCTCATCCCCTATGCCTTGCCAATTTCAGTCTTCCTAAAACTGCTCAGAGATGACCACCAGCAGCATCACCTTGCATACTGAACTGTACCTTCCAGTCCTTGCTGGAATCTGATTTGTCCATAGTTTTCTCAGTTGGATCCTCTTTATGGAATTGCGTGTGGTTGGCAGATACTGTCACCTTTACAACCTTGGCCATCTGTCATTGTGGATGTCACATCTCATTGTGTATGCTCATATATACGTGTACCTGTATAATTTTGTAAATGCAATTTCATAGTGTTAGTGAGATCAGTGTATTTGGTCTATATTGTCCTTTTATAACCAGGATTTGGGGAAAGCCTTCAGAGGCAGCCATGATTTCTCATTCCTGGGCTCAGCCTTTCCTCAATGCCGTCTAGCCTCATTCATGATGGAACCCAGTCCATTTCTAACCTGGGAAGGATGGGCAATCCATCCTGTAGGGAAACTCTCCTAAATATTTTGGCACAAAATACTCACAAAAGGATACTTTCAGGTTATGAGAAACTACTGAGAATCTAACACCCACTGGTTAGGGAATTACCACACCTGATGCTGCCTGTTTCTCAACTGCATATTTAGCCTGCCACTCAAGGCTGCCAGCCAGCCTGAGCTCTGCCTGTATTCCAGTGAAAGTGAACTCTTCACCATCTGATGGTTTATTTGTCCATGTTCTGACTATTAGTTAGGTCTGGAATGCCCGTTTTGCTCCTAACTCCATCCTTAGTGTTGATACCACACCTTTTGATATTTCTTCCATCATTGGAGTCTACTTAAATTGCCTTACTTTGTAGAATTTTTCTTGATCTTTTCAACACTTCTCCCCTCTGGTCTAGCCTAGCTTCTCTTCCTTTCTGAACGCCCTATCTAACATGACTTCTGTCATGGCCTATGTGTATTACTTTGCTCTGTCCACATCTTAATGTCCTTGCTCCCTCTACTCCTCAGCTTTGAGCCTTCAAGAGGGGAAGTTTTCTCCTGGGGTCCTTTTATCTCATGTAGCACATAATTGCCTTACCAAGCAAGTGTATCTAATTGATTTAAAAAGCAGAATAGAGAAATTTTCCCACTTCTTTTTGATGATGCAATTACAAAGTGTTATTGGCCTCCTTAGTATGCTCCATACTCTTTAAACATACAGACACATGTACACATGCACATACATACACCTGTGCACACCCATATACACCTGTGTACACACACACATACACACACACACACACACACACACACACATCCCATTCCATGTGACCAATAAGGATAATGCTTTAAGTTTACTGTCTGAAATACCCACTAAATTCGTTGGCCCTCAGAACTGTGTTCCCACTCCCATATTTATATTCACTCCCTGAACTAAACTTATATGCAAAATCTTTGTTAGTATTGTCAGTATTGTGCCATGGATAGGGATGAGGGCAAAAGACTCCACAATAAAGAACCAGGTGTTGAACCTTGGCAAGTCAAGGAAGGCCTTGGTTCTCAGCAGACAAAAGGCAAAAGGTCCTTTTCAGTACCAATCTCCTCCCTGGATAGACATCTCTTCTACCAGCTTCCACCACAGTGCCAGCTTGTAACCTGAAATCAGTTGTTCCTAAGAACATCATCAGAATAGATCTGAAATTGATTAGTACCTGATAAAACAAATTGTATTTCTTAACAGACATATTTTTATTGCTATCTGTGTGTGAAAAGCAGAGAAGTATTTAGTAATCAAGTAAGAAACTTCCCAGAGGTCCATTCAACAGCCCTTCCTGGAGGACAAGGCTTCCCAGTGTACCAGCCTGCTTCCCACCCTCAGCTCCCTGACGCATGACACAAAACATGCTGTTTAGAAATGAGCCTAGGCTGTGCACGTACTTGGGAGACACCAGGAAACCAGAGCAATCTGGCATTATAGACTTGACTCTGTATATTGCCTTTTCCATTTAAAGGAAGCTGAACGGCCAGTTAGACAAGCAAGTAGCCTAAGTTGTCACCATTGTCTAGCTCCTATTCCCACTTGCTGCCTACCCATCATCCTCTTGGATGATACTCATCTTCATAGACAGGAGGTAAACTCTGAAGACTGCTGGGATCCTAGGAACTGTGGCAGATGTCAGAGGGCTGCGGGAGGCAGTCAGCAGACACTTCCTTCTTATCTGTCAGGCTGGGGGTGGGGCTGGAATGTATCTTCCACTTTCTCCCGACATTTCCTGTAAACATGAAGAGGGTTGTAGCCTTGGGAGGCTTTCAGATGAGCTGTCATAAGATGCCGGCATGTGCCGGAGACGCTGCCCTTCGTCCTGCTAGGGTTTCTCCTGACTGCTGGTTTTCTGGTTTCCTCACAGTTCCTCAGCACTTTGTTTGCCCCCTTGAACTTTATCATGGAGAAAGTGGAGAGCATCCTCCCGTCCAGTTTGTGGCATCAGCTGACCCGGATCTGAGGGGAGCCGCCCATCCTTCACTCTCCTCAACGTCCGCCATCTCTTCTGTGCCAACTTCTCATGGACCGCAAGGAAGCATGTCTTTGAAAAAGGGAAACCATTCTGAGATCTTCAATTGTTCATGGACTATCAGTTCCATATTAAAGGCTGGTTTTGTTGTACAAAATTTATTGATGTTCAGTTCTATTTTATTTTGCCTCCAAAACTGAAGAAAAAGTAAAAAAATAATAATAATAATAATAATAAACTTTTGTGTATTGCAGCATCCTGGTGTCTTCTGTCTTCCTTCCAACCCTAGACTTGCCAGTATTCCCAACAAACTGGTGGGTTTAGGCAGTTCTCTGAGGGTGTGGGGTCTGCTAAATCCACACTATGATTTTCTTCGCTGACAGAACTTGTCTCTGCAGAGTTCACAACCCATGAGTTGGTGGCTTGAAAAATGGAATGTCAAAGCTGAGGCTGTGGTTCAGTGGTAGAGCACTTGCTTTGCATAGGGCCCGGTTTCTGTGTGCCCAACAACACTTAAACAAATGAATAAGCAAGAGAAGAAAGGAGGAAAACAGACACAAAAACGCTGTGCCCAAACCAAGTGTCCTCACATGCCAAATGGACACGCAGAAGTCAGATTTCCAGGGGGAATGTCAGCTTCAGGGAAACAAACGTATGTGCTCAGTAGGTTGATCCGGCCTCATGGTCTCTAATGAAGTTCCGGAGTCACTGATGAGAAGTCACAGGTCAACAGTCCGTCATAGAACTTGGCCATCGCACCCTTATTACCATTTGAAATGTCTCTCCAAGTGTACCTTTTCATTTTTGTCGTGCTTGCATTCCTGACACTTTAATCTGAGCATTCTTTGAGTATGTTAGCGATCTGAACCAAAATGATCATTTGTCCTCACCACCTTTCAAAGCTTTGTGCCGGATTCAAACCTAGCAGAGCATCTGGCTTTAGTTAGGCAAAAGAAGAAAAATAAACAAACACGAATCCTCTATCTGAAGTGAAAAGGACTTCTATTTCACATCTCGGTCCAGTGTGTCTTTTGCATACTTTGCCCTTTGATTTCGAATCCTAGCTCTTCCGCAGGCACATCAAGGCGGTAGCGTTCTGGGAAGCACCACCAGTCTCTTTGGGAGCTGGAGCTCCTGATCTCCACCTAAGGGCAGTCAGGTGGGTGGGTAATTTGCTGGGCACCAGGTCTGCTCTTCCAGTTGGCTAACTTCTCTTTGTATCTACTTTGTGCAGAGCCATGATGAGAATATACAGCTGGCTTCTGCTCTTACAGAACTTATCTAGTGAGAGGTTGACCCCATACACATACCGGTAGTGTTGCTCTTGGGAGTAGGGGCTGTGCCTGCCTTGTTGACAACTCTTGACACAGAGTGGATGCTCAAGTGATTGGGTGAGTTGGGTGGGGCGGGGAGGGCAGTACATGACAGGCACAAATAAACTTTGATCTGTTAGAGGAGAGTGGTCTCAGATGAGAAGGACCAGGGAAGGCTTCAGAGTATAATTTCTGAGCTGAACAAACAAATTATCTAATACAATTCTTTAACCTAATGGATGAGGAAATCAGAGACTTGGGTCTGCTGGGGGCTGGGACTCTGGATTGTGCTAAGTCCTGAAGGAGAGGCTTCAGAGCACTAAGCAGTGGGAAGTGGAGATGGCTCAGAGCCAGATGTGGCTAGAAACCCTGAGTTGTGGGAAATGAAGCCAAGGAATGCAAGATAAAGATGTGCATGTGTGTGTGTGTGTGTGTGTGTGTGTGTGTGTGTGTGTGTGTGTGTGTGTTTGACGCAAAGTCTCTACATAGCCCAGACTGACCTTTAACTTTCAATCCTCCTGCCTGTCCCCCGGGGTGCTGAGGTGACAGTTGTGTGTCACCATGCTCAGCTAAACAAGGATTTAAATATGCTTAGCAAATTTTAGAATTCGGATTTTAGATCAGGTTCATGGGGAGGTAGGCGGAACTTAGACTTGAATGGGTAGAAAAAAAATGAATGGAAGAGACCAAGTAGAGGAATAATGGTGACAAATGAACAGGGGATATTGGAAGAAATGAGTCCCAGGACTAAAGGGCTATTCATGCAAGGAAGAAGGTACTAGCAAATTATGGGTACTTGCTTAAGGGTATCAAATTATGGGAACTTACTAGACCCTCACCGTAGTCACTCTTCTGGCAGAGGCCGTGATCCTCTGTCTTCCTGCCTTTGATTTACTCACAGCTCCTCCAGCCTCCTCTCAAGTGTGCCCAAGGCTTACTCCCGCAGTACTGGCCTCCAAGCCTCCATTGTTTTGCAGTTCCAAAGGACCAGCACCCATTTTTATCTTAAGGGTTAATGCAAACCTGTGGAGAGGCAGAGCCAGGACAGCCAAAATAACCAAAGTTCTTCAGTTGATCGTGTTTGCACAACGTCCCCCACCTAAGGTTGAGGGGTCCTGGCTTCTCACTGAGATGGCGAACTCATGTTGCATTTTTGCCTTTTGCCTTTTATTTCTTCATGGGGCTGCATGAAAGCTCATTCTAATGAGCTTTTGTCTATAAAGACTCTCCTGTCCCAACAGTGTCCGGTATTCTCATCTATTATGTGTTTGTTGGAATACAAATGCAGTCATTCTAAATTTAATACCAATAGGCCAAATCTAGCAATGTTTAGCAATAGACAAGGAATAATAATAATAATACATGACAATATAAAATGATCTACAGGCTTGCTTTCAAATTCTTTTGTCAGCACTTGGTAATGTCTAAGTCATTCCAGCTTTATAAAGGCATTTGAGGAGGCTTTCACACACTTTAATACAACCTTGAATAATTAAACACTAAATTTATCAGTTTTTTGGGGACTGGACAAATTCAAACCAGACACATCTGATTTTAGTGCTTGGTTATTGGTAGTGGTTTTTTTTTTTTAATTATTCTTTTAACTACCTGCTGTGGAATCAGTCTTTGCAAAATTTCATCTTCAACTGGTAGAATATTTTTCTAGGAAATTATCATTTTCTCTACATATCCAAAGGTGTTGCTGCAGAGGACCATGGTTATGTGATTTGTATATTTCATCCTTCTATGTTTGCTAAGGTTATTTCTCTCTTTTTTCTAATCCTAGCTGTGCGGAGTTTTCTTTTCTTTGTGTGTGGGAGTGTCACTGTGTGGGGGTGTGGGGATGCAAGTGTGTAGACGCTAATTCTGATGTCCAGATGGAACAGTATCTCTGCAGAAGGAACCATGGTGCCATCTACATCTTATCTCAGAAGACGACCTGGGACAAGGTTTGGCTGTCACTTCTTTGCTGACATCAATGCCTCATCACTAGGCATCTGGCCAGATCTGTTGTGAAGTTGACGATTTCTGGGTGTGCGGTCTTTGGTGGTAATGGGTACCACGTCGACCTCTACTCTTTCTTCGGACACCTTGTATTATAGTTGCCTTCCACGGCTGTACATAGCACAGATTCTCCTCTACATTATGTGGACTTTTCTACCATGTAATGACAAGGTAAATACTGGCTCTGAAGTTGTGCACATGCACAGCACCATGTCTTGTAAGCATCCCCGAGAGGTCTTGCCTGATTTCTACTTCTGTGGAGATCCAGAAGAGACTGACAATGAAGGGCAGGCTACTATGGAAAAGGCTGTGACCTAGGATCAACTTCAGGATGAATGGAAGGGGTCTCTAAGTTCATTGCTGTTCATTCCAAGGCAGCAAATTTGTCTACGGGTTTGCATGTCCTCGTTTTACCTGTCTGTTAGATCCCTACTGAAGACTGGGGTAACCAGCTAGCCACAGAGTACCAGTTAATATGAAGGTCTCATTGTTTCAACCTCTGAATGGCACAAACCACAACTAAGTGCGCTTAAGTTGTTCGCTGGCGATACTTAAGCAAGGTGTAAAGAAGGTGAGTGGAAAATAAATACTAGTTTCAAGAAGAACAGAGATGTCCAGCTGGCCATGATGGCACATGCCTATAATCCTGGCACTCCAGATGCTGAGACAGGAGGATCATGAATTGAAGGCCAGCCTTGGCTACATAGCAAGACCCTATTACTGAAAAAAACAAAAACAAAAACAAAAGAAAAAAATATATAGAAAGCTAGAGATTTTTTTCTGGAGTGTAGTTTCCTTGTTCCACTTTGCTATGAATATGTCTCCTTTTCATTTTATAGAGGTTTGAAAGTTTCTGATTCAGGTTTTCCTTAGGAGTGAGCACTTGGGAGAATTTCTTAATAATTGTTTCTCCATTACTTCCTTCAAGGAATTAATTTTAATGCTATTCTACCATATCTAATAAAACATCAAAGATATTTAACTGCTCCCCTAAGTGCAGTAGACCATAATACCCCCTAATACTTCCTCATTTTTGATCCCTTTTCCTATAATTAAAAAATGTCACATTGTAATTTCAAAACATGTAAAATTATTTTATTTCTTCCATGTGAGACTTCTGGGGCAATATTTACATAATTAAGGTGTATTGGTGTTCCTTCCATTAGCCCGCTTTGTCTGTGACCGTGCACTTCACTCAGCTTCAACAAATCAGGCAGCGGCAGGTGATTGTTGCTCTCCAGGAGAGAACAAAAGGAGAGACACAAGATCCTCTATGACATTCGTTCCTGTGACGGCTTCTGCACTACAGCAGTGACAGCTCTGGCTGGGCTAGGAACTGAAACGTGCCGATGTTGGGAGATCTAGACTGGCCTTGAAGAAATCAGTCTTGTGGTTGTGGCTTTTGGGAACCAGGATGGCTGAGACCTACTTGGCAGGAGCCAGATTCTTAGCTTCCTACCAGGATGCACATGTCCAGATGATCTCCAAGCCCAGACCCAGGTTCTGAAGGTGTATTAGCTTGTTGTTGTTGTTGTTGTTGTTGCAATGATAAAGCAATGAATAAAATCAACATGAAACAGGGAAGAGTTTATTTGACTTACATGTTACAGTCCATAATTGAGGAAAGCCAAGGCAGGAACTCAAGATAGAAACTTGGAGAAGAAACCCTGGGGGGATGTTGCTTCCTGGCCTGATTCCCCAGGCTTTCTCAGCTACCTCTCTTGTCAGCCCAGGCCCACCTGCCCAGGAATGACAGCACCCACACTGGGTTGGGCCCTCCTGCATTAATCAATTAAGAAAGTGTTCCCTACACATGCTCAAAAGCCGATCTGATGGAGGCCATCCCTTCATTAAGATTTCCTCTGCCCAGATATGTCTAAGACTGTATCAAGTTGACAAAGAGCTAAGTATAACAGATGGGGGCTTATTTCCAAAAAAG